TTTTCTACTATCCTTTGCTATTAAACATATGCAGGATAAATAGTAATAATGGATAGTTTCCTTTACGTGAATCCAGACAATGGGTAAGTTGTCTGATACCAAAGTACAGCTCAAGCTATACAACTTATTTCTAGTGCATTTCAGAAATAAAAATGCCATAGCATTTTCTCAAAAAACTTTTATAACAAACACTGGGTACCACATTTCTGGAGAATGTATGTACAAAAAACTTGCGAGTTAAAAACTTTACAGCTTTTTGACTTGCCTGACATTTTCCCCTCCAAGACTCTCTAGTCTCTCCATTACTACAAAAGAAAAGCAAAATCTTCTTTCCAAGAAAATCTGTATTAACGGTAATGCCTTCTTCATTTCACTTTCCACACAGACACTTAAATCAACTTTTTTTTCCTGAGTAACTGGAATTAATTTAATAAAACATATCATTTTATTTCTCTTCAAATTTCCCATACACAACAACAAAAAGACAATACCAGTATAAAAATACATTAAATTAATATTTCATTTTAGTACCATATACTGGCATTAGCTCTATTAACAGAATCTATCACATTTATTTGACTTAGAGAATCTAAGAGCATCATGACAAAAATGGACTGAAAGCAGGGCCCTAAAATCTACTGTCATGTGTTCTGTCATCCCTATAAAGTTAATGGGCTGGAAAAATGGTCAGTCTTTGGAACCAAAGTTGATATTTAATTGAAAGGAAATGCTTTTTTAATTGTAACTTCTTCAGTTTTATTTTTAAATACTAGCATGAATATGAAAAAGACTCATGGAGGGTAAAATGAGAGTTCATATTTATACAAATTTGAGATGGATAAAAATGATTATTTCCATGTGCCATAAAGGAAATTATATCAAAAGATATATATTTTTTCTTAAAGCTTTATTTTTAATTTTGCTAGAAATAAGAACTTAGAGCAATAAAATGTATGATGACTGAGCAATAACGCTTAAATTGCTATTCTTAAGAAATAGCAGCAAAAGTCCTCTAAATAATCTTAATGATAAATAATAATATATCAATCAGAACTAATATATTAAAATGAAGAAATATGAAATTAGTTCTTCAAAGAATGAATATTCTTATTTTCTGTCCTTGTTTTAACAAATATTATTTTTCTTAGATAAGAAATCTTCAGCAAAGTTGCCTAATATTTGAAGGGCTCTTTTTGCTTAGAACATTTGAATCGGCTTCCTACCCAACAAAATGGCAGCTCACAACTATTCTGGATAGTGCAAATTTTCTATTAAGGCCGTGTACAAAGTCCACAGTAATATAGGAAGCATTTTTTTCCTTTAATTGGTCAGAAATTTTTAAAAAAAAGTTAAAAAATTCCTTGTGGAAGTCTTCGTGTAATTCAGTTATACAGTTACTATGATGTCAAGTACTTGGGCCTTGCTGTGAAGGTGCTTCTGCTCTATACCCTGTAGTATACCATTTGTAAACACATCTTTTTGATGTTTCTGCCAACATCCTGGCAACAAAGCAATGCAATTTCAAATGAGCTAATTAACTTAATTGTTGATGAAGCATGAAACAGTTCATTGACCCTGTTAGCTGCTCCATGACAACATAAGAGTCTCAGCCTGTGAAGTTACTCATCTCCATAAACCTATCTGTAGCTCTCTGTTTAGGTCTCTTGCATTCTGAAATTGTGGGTGGAAAATGTTTCATGAAAGATGCATATTCTCATTTGAAAAAGAACCTCTTAGGAATTAAAAAATATTTTATCACTGTATGAAGAAATTAAGGATATACAAAGTTTTGATTTTAAGTTAGAGAAGTCTTTACAGTCTATCAAACAAACTTAGGGCCATCTATGTTTCTTTATGATTCTCAGGGCAGCAAGTCACAACATGGAAAAAATACAGCTATCTTAAAATTTCAGCTCTGATTAACTTTCAGTTTTTTACTCTTAGTAAATAAATACATTAAACATTATTTAAAGTAAGAAATAAAAATTCTGCAATAAAAATAAGCCTTTAAAATGTGTCTTTTGTTTAAATGTGTGTCTCTATAAAACACACACACAGACATGCACACATATGACTTCTCACATAATCTTACTGGAAATTTTTATAGAAAGCTCGAAATTTAAGTGAATCCTACAAACATATCTTTCGATTATTAATGACACTATTATAGTAGTCTACTTTTTATTATTCATTCAAAGACCTTTCGTGAAATTTTCTCATGAAAAGTAAAGATGAAGAGTTAACCTTCTTAGCCTGAGTTTGCTAATCCACTCGTTGAAATACACAGAAAACATACAGAGTGCCTTAGGATGGACCTTTATTTTCTTTCTTCAGCTTTCTTTTGCTTATTTACAGCAAAACTGCCTAAAACTCCCATATAATCCACTCCCTCCGCTAAAAAAAAGTAAAAAACCTACTTTAAAAACTGTCCAAAATCTTCACAAATGCTTTCACAGCCTGGCCATTTGCAAACTCCATGGCCGTAGAGAGTGTGGGAGGCCCCAGTCTCCTCATGTGACGAGCTGTAGCAAGAGAACACGACGTCAGATTCATCTCAAAAAGCCATAATCGCTGCAGGCTGCTAGCGCCTGTCAGGTTACGATCAGTGACAAACAGGTCAAAACAGGTCAATTCAGCTCAGAGCAGTCAGAAAAATTTAATCGTTCTATTGAATAGTTCAACTGCCAAGGCTAGATGATGTTCCAATTAGAGGAGAAATAAAGCCAAAGATGACTGTTAATAAAGGATGAAAATCTAAGAGGACTGTATAATATCATATGCTAATCCTGCCACATGACCTTAATGTAACATTTACCTCTAAATAAAAATATATATTCATATGTGGTCAAGTAAAAAAAAAAAAAAACCTGTGTTTTTAAGAAAGTAATAGGAAAATCACCACAAGATTTTTGATATGCTCTTTTAGAGATAATATGGACCTTCAGAATCATTTACATTGTTTAATATTTATGTGTGAATCATATATATTTCTGCTAGTTACAGTTGATCAAAAAATTCTACTTTGGAATGGTATTCATTAGCTATCCCTTTTACAATTAGCCAAGACTTTTGATAAGTGAGTATTGTATCAGATAGATCCTAGAGATATCAACCAACTTCTCAAGTATATAATCATCAAATTACTCTCAATTAAAACAACAGCATGAAAGCATTCAAAAGCACACCATTTTACAATAATGAAATCTAACAAGAAAAAATTTTCATGATACTCCAAGAAAGACCAAAACATCACCAAATTATAGCATTATATTTTAACTGTACTGTATAAATGCATGTTTCTTTGGAAAAATACTTGTTTATGAGAAAAGAGTTTATTGCTGACAGGCAGGTATTCACATTACAGAACATTGTCAATCTACTACACTGAAATATGAATTTTATAACTCTACATCATATGGCATTAAGCCACTCTGTAAAGAAGTCCTATACTTATGTTCCATCTTTTAAAAGGTATTTTTCACTGAGCAATATTTTACCTTATATATTTTATGTAAATCACATTAAAGGATCTGATTAGGTTACCATATGCCTGCATAAATAGAGTTAAATGGATAAAAAGTATATGGGTAACCCTTTTACAAAGGTACTTTTTATACAACCAAAAACACTAAGTTGAAAAAAAAGATCTAATATAATGTACTTAGTGTCGGTAACTGAAATCTAAATTTTTCTTTAGGAATTTTGATGCGAATTTATCCAGGGCATTACCATAAGTTCATTTTAATTATATATTTATAACTCTTCTTTCTTCTGGTTTATGATACCTGTGTTTGCATACTTATGTATATCTATTCTCTGATTTCTAAGCACATGGTTGTAACATATATCAAGGGGGATATCTATATATGTACATATACATACATATATATATTACGCATCTTTAATTATTTGAAACTCATTCTTAAGTTTTAAAATGGTAAGAAGATTCTCATTTCAGCAATCAGGTTAATCATAGCATCTTTTGACACAATAATTCTACATGCACTTATTATAAAATAACTTTCTTCAGGAAATTCCCCATTCTATCCATCATTCTATCATTCCCCATTCTATCCATCAAACTGCTGGCATTTAAGCTGTTTTTTTTTTTCTGATGAAATAATATATAAGATAATTTAAAAGTTTCTACCTATTTAATTTTCTGTCCTACACCTTCTGCCTCTGTTAAGTACAAATCATTATCTTTCATTTTACAAATAGTGAAAGTAAAATTTGGTGATAAGTAACAAAATATATGTCATGAAATTTACCTGTCTCGCCTTGCATTTAGAACTGAAGACTGTCCATTCACTATGGTATGATGGGTTATTGGTGGTGATGCTTTGGAAGTGGTGGAGGAGGTAGTCGAGGAGGAATTGCTAGTAGTGAGGTCTAGCCCTCCATGCTTAATGCCATTGTCTTCCATACTGTGAACTCCAGTCACTTCTTTCCATAACTGCTGAATTTCGGCAGGACTTAAGCCAGCTATAAAATGAAAGGAAGCCCCACTAATATAACAAAGTAAAGTTCATATAATGACCTTAGTATTATCACTGCATTGATGCAAACAACAAAAGTGATGTTACCAGAATAATTAATATATGATGATAAATCAGTTTTACATCATCAGCACTAAATTTTTTTCTCTTTAATAATCATTTATCTGTTAAAGACTACCAATTCAAGACCACTATGAGAAATAATAGTATTGGTGCTAATACCAAGGATCAGTTGAAAAAACAAGCAAGTTCCATTTGAAAATTAAAGTATTGGACTTTCAACAGTATTAAAATTAAAATTATTGGACTTATATTTATTGCTAGTATCAGTGAGGAACTAAAAGGCAAAGACACTTGGAAATAATACATATAAAAAGAAATTAAAAAAAAGAAGGAGGGAAAACACAAGTGTCAGAGGAAAACGGTGAACACTCAAAAGAAAAATACATTTGACAATTATCAAAGTATTTTGATCTTTCTCAGAGAGGCAAAGGAAATAACTGAATTTCATTTTCAGGTCCTAAATAAGCCAATATGTTTACTTAAATGGATCAATTAAGCATATAATATCTAAATTTCTCCTCCATTTTATGACTGACAGAATAAATCAACTACTCATTTTAAACAACTTTCTGGTTCAGATTATGCAAATTTACCTGATTTATGAGAAATGAAAAGAGAAACCTTAGGTTGCTACGCTTATCACAATTTCAAACAGTTTTACCAAAAGCTGTCATTTTGGTGATTCTGGCTCCTCAAGATTTTAAGACATATCCTGAGACTAAAGAAATGACAGGATGGCTCAGATTCTCAAAGTTATTAAAAGTTATTTTTTTCTATGAAAAGAGGATGGGTTAATAAAGAAAGGTATTTCTGTTACAAAGGAAATACTTTCTATATAAAGATCATTAACGACTAATTTAATTCTAGCTTTAACCTAAGATTCTGAAACTTTCATGACTGTGACATTTTGTTGCCTGGCTGTATGTGTTTAGGTGTCTTAACAGCAAAACTCCATGAGCAAATCCTTTTCTGTGGAGCATCAACACACCCTCGGTATCAGAACTTTCACCATCTCGTCTGCTGCCTCTCTGCTCCGGTCACTTCTTGCCTAGACACTGCTATAGCTTCCTGACTGTCTTCCTGTTTTCACTTTGCCTTTGGATCATTTACTTTTCATCTATCAGCCCAAAGTTATCTCTCTAAAAGTAAATTAAACCATGACACTTCCCCAGCAAAGCCTCTAATGGCTTCTGAGAACACTTAGAAGAGGGAAAAAAAAAAACTTACTGCAGCCTATGAGGAGCTGGCACTTATTTTTTATTTTTATGTTACATGCATTTTCCTTATAATTAAAAGAAGTTTGAAATTTATGAGTAAAAGGTTTTGTTTTTCTTTTTTTTCCAATTTTTGTTGGGCTATAGTTGGTTTACAATGTTGTATTAGTTTTTACTGTAAGGCAAAGTGAATCAGTTATACATAGACATTTATCCCGTCTTTTTTAATTTCCTTTCTGTTTAAGTCACCACAGAGTACTGAATAGGGTTCCCTGAGTTAAACAGAATGTTCTAATTAGTTATCTATTTTATACATTGTTTCAATATATGTCCATCCAAATCTCCTGATTGATCCCACCACCTCCTTTTCCCCACTTGGTGTTCATAATTTGTTCTCTACATCTATCTGTGTCTCAATTTCTCTTTCACAAATAAAATAATCTATAGCATTTTTCTAGATTCCACAAATACATGTTAATATATGATATATGTTTTTCTCTTTTTGAGAAAACTTAATTTCACTCTGTATGATAGTCTCTAGGTCCATGCACATCTCTACAAATGACCCAATTTCATTCCTTTTTATGGCTGAGTAATATTCCTTTGTACATAGATACCACATTTTCTTTATCCATTCCTCTGTTGTTGAATATTTAGGTTGCCTCCATGTCCTAGCTGTTTCAAATAATGTGGCAATGAACACTGGGGTGCATGTGTTTTTCTGAATTATGGTTTTCTCTAGGTATATTTCCAGTAATGGGACTGCTGGGTCATATGGTAGTTGTATTTTCAGTATATTATCTTATTGTTATCTATGTCTCTGACCTCATCCATCACTGTCTCCCTCCATTTCATTCTATTACATGAGCCTTCTGCTATTTCTCGAATTCATCAAATATTTGCTCCCTTTCAGGATTTTGCTCCAGCTATTCCCACAACCTAGGCCACTCTCTGGTTGCAAATCTTCTCACAGCTTCTTCCCTCCCTTCATTTAGGTGGCTCAAAGGTCATTCCTGTGAGAGGTCTTTGAACACACTATCAACCACTGCCCCTCCCTACCTGCCTTTTATCAGGACCTATCTACTTTCTTTCATTTACCACCCCTAAGCTATATTATTTGTTTTACAGTCTCCCTCCACCATTTACTAGGAGCAAGGATTTCTTACTTTACTGGCAGACACTCAGTTCCTAAAACATCGCCTAGTATGTGCTCAATCGTTGTTGATTTAATTGATTAAAACAGGTTCATACAGTTCTGAAAGACATCTTGGTTACTATCATACATAAATGTTCTGTTAAAGGGCATACTATTGTGGGTTGGCCAAAACCCCCCCAAAAATTTGTTAGGGTTTTTCCATAACATTTCCTGGAAAGACCTGAATGAACTTTTTGGCCAACCCAATATTTATGAGTATTGCTTTCCAGTAAGGCAAAAGTCTAAAGAATTATAAATGGTACCATTTGATCCTACCAGATTGAGTGGCTAGTAACATTTTATATTTTGGCTAAAGACATATATTTCTGAGACTATAGTTAAGATGTTAATAATAATTTAGCTTTCAGATTTTATTAATAACTTTGGTAACCTACATATTTACTTACCGTAAAGTAGAATTCCATTATACTATTCATTTGCATTGAAAATTAGTGGTACTACCATGGTATCACAATGATAGGATAATAAACAGAAGGCACGTAAACATTTGATAAATCAGTCCAAATAATGGTCCTTAATTAACATAATATTATATTTTAACAATATTAAATATTTATATTTTAAATAATTAATGTTTGAATATTTTAAGTATTACAGATAAGGGATAGAGAAAAATAATGTCAAAAAGGGATTTCTGTTAGTAAGAATGGCTTCCCAAAGAGTTTACATATTCAAATCACTTGGGGATCCTTTAAAATTTCCAGTGCTTTCACCACAGCACCAACAAATTAAGTCATAATTTCTGAAGTCAGAACACAAGCATCAGTAGTTTTTGAAGCTCTATAGATTACTCCAATTGCAGATAACCTGGGGAGCATTTTTAAAAAGTAAACTATCACACTGCTCATGAGACGTTTTCACATCAACTTGCTTAGTTATTTTCTATGGATACAAAACTATTTTAAAATATGAAACAACTAGCTGATCAACTTTGTGCCATTTTGAAGGTTTCATGAGGTTTTTTTTTTTAATGTTTTGATGATTTGCAAGAATTAATTCACTTTTTCAGGCAGTATTATAACAAATTCAGCATTTTATTCTATGGAAGAGTACTCCCTAAATGCTGTGAGTCTAAGAGATCTCAGAGATCTGTTGTCTCGATTTAGGAGACCCATGGCTTATGTAAGCAAGTAAAACAGTTCTGAGATGTTTAGTAACAGAGATATCTTAGATCTCTTTCTTTAACTCAGTGTTTTTCAAATATGTAAGGAAAAAATAACTCAATAAATTTTTTTCTACAATTACACTAATTTATTTCAGGATCAAATACTAAGTATAGGCTTAGTATTCCAGTGATCTCTAGCCTAGATCTCTTCCTTGAATTGCAGGCTGCTTATCTGACATCTCGCTGTGACCCTAACAGACTCTCCAGTCTTACGTGTTCAAAACTCAGTTATACAGCTCCTCTGGCTCCAACTCACTCCTCTGGCCGATTTCTTTGTCTGATTTATTTAACAGATATATACAGTGCTACTCATATGTCAATCAATTTGCAAAGCCTTCATAAATGATAACTGATGTAACGCCCAAACACTATTACTATCATCGTTACTTTCATTTTAGAGATGAGGACACTGAAGTACAGGAAGATTAATTAACTTGTTCAAGAGCACCCTCATATTTCTAAGGTCACAACTCACATAGCCCCTTCCCAGGACTCCTTCCCTAGCTATCTTGTCTACAAGTTCAATTTCTCCCATCTCATACGGTTGCTTAAGTTTCTCTGATCCTTGCCTTTTCATTTTTCTCCTTAGCAGTTACCACTATATACTGTATTTATTGTCTGTCTTCTTCACTAAACAGTAAGTTTTATAATGGCAGGGTTTACTATTGGTTATTGTCAAAGATTTATCCCCAGAGCCTATACAAGTGCCTGCAACAAGTGAAAATTCAATGATGCTAGGTTAAAAGATCTGTTCAATTGATCACAAAATTAGGGTACTGGCAAGTACAGCCTGGGATCTGGTAATCAGTGGACTAGAGCATCATAGAATAATAATCAACTTAAAATCTTAAGTGAAGATTATTCACTTTCCCTTAAAACGGTATTTCAAGGATGTATACATGCAATAAGTTTAGTCCAGTCGCTCAGTTGTCTCTGACTGTTTGCAGCCCCCATGGACTACAGCATGCCAGGCCTCCCTCTCCATCACCAACTCCTGGAGTTTACTCAAACTCGTGTCCATTGAGTCCATGATGCCACCCAACCATCTCACCCTCTGTCGTCTGCTTCTCCTCCCACCTTAAATCTTTCCCAGCATCAGGGTCTTTTCCAATGAGTTAGCTCTTCTCATCAGGTGGCCAAAGTATTGAAGTTTCAGCTTCAGTGTCAGTCCTTCCAATGAATATTCAGGACTCATTTCCTTTAGGATGGAGTGGTTGGATCTCCTTGCAGTCCAAGGGACTCTCAAGAGTCTTCTCCAATACTACAGTTCAAAAGCACCCGTTCTTTGGCGCTCAGTTTTCTTTATAGTCCAACTCTCACACCCATAC